CCCATAGCTTCCTCTTGTACCGCTCCACCCTCCGCCATACTGAACTCCTTCTGCTTGCTCTGTGTTGGCCATACCTGGAGTTGACATGCATAGATGTAATGGGCACTCTGGCTGAGAATGAGGTCCCAAAGGAGCCCAGGAGCCTCTTGTGAAAGGACTTGGATGCCAGGCTGACTCCCTAGAGCAATAGGGAGCCCCAGAGGGAGTGTCGGAGCACTGGGCATTTTAGGAAGATTATTTGTTCCTTGGTCTGCCTCCTGTTGTCATCACTCTGCCTCTAAAAGTCCCTCACCAGTGACCTCCCCATTACTCAGTCCAAGGGGCACTCTTCTTTCTTTATACATAAGTACATATATGCATATGTCTGATGGCCACAATATAAAATGTCTACCTTATTGTGGGATGTGGGTAAAGCGTATGAAGGCCATTGCTATAGGAATCCTGTTTCTTTCTCTAGCCCAGAACTCTCCTTAGAATTTAAGACCTGTGTTAAGCCACCTATTCCATAACTTCCCTTAGACATTCTTTATGTCCCAAATCTGACTCAAGACCTTCATCTCAAACTTGGATTTTCTCCTCTCTTCTGCATCTCAGGGACTGGACCGACCATCTATCCAACTGCAGAAGCTGGAAACCTGGGAATCATCTTTGGTACTTACACGTCCCCCAGCCCATGTCTAAGTCTTGCTGATTTAAACTCCTAAATATATCTCTTTACCTTGACTACTTTTCTATGTCCATCTTCACCATCCAGGTCCAAGGTGCCCTCATCGCTCACCTGGGGAAATTGGCTTTCTTTATGCTTTTTTTCTTTTTTAAGATTTTATTCAGGGGCGCCTGGGTGGCTTAGTCGTTAAGCGTCTGCCTTCGGCTCAGGTCATGATCCCAGGGTCCTGGGATCGAGCCCCACATCAGGCTCCCTGCTCAGCGGGAAGCCTGCTTTTCCCTCTCCCACTCCCCCTGCTTGTGTTCCCTCTCTTGCTGTGTCTCTCTCTGTCAAATAAATAAATAAAATCTTTAAAAAATAATAAGATTGTATTCATTTGAGAGAGAGCGAGCGAGAGAGAGCACAAGTGGGTGGAGGGACAGAGGGAGAGAGAAGCATACTCTCTGCTGAGCATAGAGCCCAATATGTGGGGCTCAATCCCAGGACCCCAAGATCATGACCTGAGCTGAAGTCAGCTGCTTAACTGACTGGCAACCCCTGGTACCCCTGCCCTTCTTTATATTTGGGCTCCTGCTGACCCATTCTCTACAAAGCATCCTGAATTATCTTATATTTTATTTTTATTTTTTATTTATTTATTTATTTTTTTTTAAAGATTTTATTTATTTATTTGAGAGAGAGAATGAGATAGAGAGAGAGCATGAGAGGGGAGAGGGTCAGAGGGAGAAGCAGACTCCCTGCTGAGCAGGGAGCCCGATGTGGGACTCGATCCGGGGACTCCAGGATCATGACCTGAGCCGAAGGCAGTTGCTTAACGAACTGAGCCACCCAGGCGCCCTATTTTATTTTTATTTTTTATTAAGCAGGCTCCATGCCCAGCATGGAGCCCAACACAGGGCTTGAACTCACGACCTTGAGATCAAGACCTGAACTGAGATTAAGAATCAGATGCCTAACCGCCTGAGCCACCCATGTGCCCCCTGAATTATCTTTTAAAAATACAACCCTGATCATGTCTCTTCCTCGCTTAAAAATCTTTCAATGGTTCCTCATCATCATTCTTAGACTCAAATTCTAAACATGGCTGACCAAACCCCCAGGATCTTCAGCCTCATTTTGTACCATTGTCTCCCTTCTCTCTCTGCACTGGCCACACTAGCTGTTCTGGATAGGGTTGGTTAGTTGGCAGACGGCATCCATTCCCACTGTTTTTTGTTTGTTTTTTAACTCTACCCCAGAAGTGGGGCTTGAACTCAAGACCCTGAGATAAAGAGTCACAGGCTCGGGATGCCTGGGTAGCTCAGTCGGTTACGCGTCTGCCTTCGGCTCAGGTCATGATCCGGGGGTCCTGAGGTTGGGTCCTCCTTGCTCAGCGGGGAGCCCGCTTCTCCCTCTGCCTGCCGTTCCCCCTGCTTGTGCTCTCTCTCCGCCAAAAAAAAAAACAACAAAAAAAAAACCTTAGAAAAAAAAGAGTCACAGGCTCATGGCTCATGGGGCTCTTGGCTGGCTCAGTAGGAAAAGCATACAATTCTTGATCTCGGGGTTGTGAGTTCGGACCCATGCGAGGTGTAGAGATTACTAAAATAAATAAAACTTAAAAGAAAAAGTCGCAGGCTCTATCGACTGAGCCAGCCAAGTGCCCTGATTCCCACTGTTTATGTGCCTTCCTGTGCTCACATACTGGAAAGCTAAAAAACTTCCTGACTCCCCTGCAGCAAGTAGATACATTTGCATGAGGTTTGAAGGTGGGAGTAAGGCAGGAGTCAAATAGTTTCGGCTGTTTCTGCTAAGTAAGCTTGTGGAGACATGCGTGTCCTGTCTCTGGCTTCAAAAACTCATTTCATTGTCCTGGCAGTAGACATGGCAGTGGCCTTCTGATCCCGGCAGCCTGTCCTTGGATGGTAGCTTCAGTAGTGTGTCCTCAAACTCAACCCTTCCAGTGATGGCTTCCTGGCTCCTTTCTAGGAGAGGTAGCAGCTCCTGTAGTAGGTTAGTTCAGTAGTGTTCTAGGAGTCATTCTTAATACCCAACTTAGGCCCCATCACTTTCTTCAATACCTACAGTGGTTTCTGTTTCTAAACCTGGACTTTTACACTGGGCATTTGGTTTCTAGAATCGGCGATGGCTCGCTCCTCTCAGCATAGGGTTGTTATACTTGTTATCCCTTTTGCGGAGGCTAATATACTCTTGTCGCCTGTTAACCCCCAACACCATCTCTCAATTAACTCCTTATAGATTTTCTTGACCTCAGTTCAGACGTTTTTTCTGGGAAGTTATCCCTGACCTCCAAGACCAGATCAATCTGTTTCTTTCAGTGCTTGATCATAGTTTGTAATTATGTCTTTGTGTGCCCCTAGAATTTGAGCCCCAGGGAACTTGACTCTTGCTGTATTCCATGCCTAGAGAGAGTTGGTGCTTAGTATACATGCTAAATAAGTGGATGGAATGGAGGTGGCCAGACTGGAGGGGGTCAGGACAAAATAAAGTCTCTTAAGTAACACCGACAGGCCCAACAGGCCTGGGGCCACCTCCTCTTGGCCTTTTCCCAAGCACATCTTTTGGTGACTCTACAGCCAGCCTGAACACCCTGTGTGCTCTGGCCTCCAGGTCTTTGCACAGGCTGTTTGTGCTGCTTGGACAGCTCGGCACTCTTCACATGGCTTCTTCATCATGCGGGTTTCAGTCATGACATCATCATCTCTTCCAGGAGACCTGTACTTCAGACAATTTTATATTCTTTGTCTTTTTCAGAATATTTAAAAATACTTAATATTATTTTAAACACTGCTCTTCACTTATCTGCATCTCCCTCTGCAAGTAACTATCTCATTCCCGGGTGTATGCAAAATGCCTTGCAGGAGGGCTTGGCTCTAATGGCCCTCCTATCTGTTGAAAGCCCAATGAAAAGAATGTCAGTTAGCCAGCCTCAGTCTGGGATCTCTGCATACTCCCTAGGAACCCATGAACAGTGAGGGATTGTAATTTGGGGGTTGCTAGATCAGGAGAGGAAGCTGGGGGAGGTTTGTTCCTTTCCAGCCCATGGCTCCGTCCCCAGACCGCCAGGCAGGAGGCCCTGGAGCAGATCCTGTGGGGGATGGGCAGGGAAATAGTTTCTTCCTCTGCTCCCTTCAGGAGAGCTGGGGGGAGGGGGGGAGATGGGGGGAAGGGCAGAGAGAGGGAAGATTCCTTCCAAGGAGGCTCCTTGGCACAGTGCCTGCTTGGAGGGAAGGAGGGTATGATGAATGCATGATGAATGCAGGCTTTCTCCCCGCCTCCGGCCTGTGAAGGAGGGAAACCCAAGGCACAGAAGGGAGAGATAAGGGGGGAAGTGATCGAGCAGGGAAGGGTCTATTTGCTTTGGGAGACAAGAATGAGGGGCTGAGCAGGCCTGGAAAGGCAGGGCTCCTAAGAGCCAACCAGGCCTTGACTATACCTTATCAGTTCTGGAAATATCCTCAAATCACTGAGTTAGAGAATCAAGACATTGAGAAATTTGGTTCTTAGGATTGGATCATTTTAACGTCTCAGAGCTGAAAATCCTTCAGTTGGTTGTGTCTGGGGTCTCAGAGCTGTGTCTGGGGCTGGCTTGGAGTGAGTCAGCTCTCTGGGAAGTTTCCTGGACTCTTTCTTCCTCCCTTAGTACCTGAAAAGATGGCATTTAAAAAAAAAAAATTTATTTATTTATTTGACAGACAGGGACAGCGGGAGACGGAACCCAAGCAAGGGCAGTGGGAAAGGGAGAAGCAGGCTTCCCGCGGAGCAGGGAGCTCCATGCGGGGCTCGATCCCAGTACTCTGGGATCATGACCAGAGCCGAAGGCAGACGCCCAACGACTTGAGCTACCCAGCCGCCCCAAGAGATGGCATTTTTAAAAGCCCATAAGTACTTTGCATCCAATTCGTGGCATTTACTCTAAGATGATGAAGCTAACATCTTACTTCTGCCTTCCCCATTGTAATCTCCTGAGGCAAGAATCCATCTCTCTCATTTTAGTACCATTCAGAATTGTGGTCTCAAACCTGGCTGCCAATCAGAATTGTTTGGGGATGCTTACTAAAAAAATTCTCACTCACACCAGCGATTCTGAATCCTTGGAGCAAAGTTAGGGCTTAAAATTTGAGTTTTTACAATGTGCTAAGTGAGTGCGATGCATACATACGGTTTAGGTAACAATTCCAAAGGGCCTGGCACAACACAGTAGGTGCTAAGCGTGGCCTGCAGGGGTTGGAAATGTTTTTGCAGGGTAAACAAATGATGTGTAGAAATATGGATTGAACTAGAGAGTCTGTGTACCCCAGCATCTTACACTTTGAAAAGAGATAGGGCAACGGTGTTAGCAATACAAAAGATAAATATTTATTCAGAACAAAACTTTTAACAATCGATTTTACATTCTAAGCCACAAGGAAATAGCAAAACATAATGCAAAGGAAAAACAAAAACTAAAAGAAAAGCAGCTGTCTTTTCTACTTTAACTCGGTAACACTTAGTTGACCCAATGCCCTCTTGCTTGACCTGTTTTGCAAGCAAATTTTAGAGTTAACAGCTTACTTATGATTCCAGGTTAAAATCACCTTTCTCCTGTGAGTCAGGAAGTTGTAGATGAGCTCCAGTTAGAGGCTTCTCTGGGGTTTCTAGCTATTGGGGCTAAGGTGCAAATGTAAACCTCTGGTAGGTTTCCTTATTTAGGAACACCCCCATTTCTAAGTGGTGGCAGTGAATGATGAAGGGTAAGGCCCCAAAGGACTTGGCACTTTAATCCAGATATGATACCTCACGGAGCAATGAGTACACCCTAGATTATGTTCCTTTGGCCCTTCCCTATCTCCCAAGTATTCAGAAGCCCCTGCTAAATCCCTTTCTGCTTCCTCCCCGAGATGATTTCTTAGCATTCCTCTGGGCTCATCATTCTGGAGAGATCAGACTTTCTGGGCCCTCAAGTGTTGAGGAAAATGTTGTGAAGTGTGAGAGGTAGTGGAATGAGCACCGGGCTTGGGGTCAGGGAACTCTACTCTAGGCTAGCTCTGGCACCAGACAGCTATGTGATTTTGACCCAGTCATTTAACCTCTCTGGGCCTGTTTCATCTGTTGGAAATCCAGGGGATTGGTCTAAACCAACTTTTAGGTCCTTTCCAGCAAGAAAATTCCAAATTCCATGATTCTGTGAAAAATGGCTTCTGAGCCACTGAACAGCTGTCCCAAAGTCCATGCTTTTTAATGCCATAAGAGAGGCCCTTGGCCACCATTCAGAGCTTATTGACTCAGATTACATACACTTCTAACAACAATGGTTTCACAAATTCTCAGACCACATAGATTAGAAGCAGCAAATTAAACGGGGAGGGGGGGAAGAGCTGCAAAAAGTAGACACCCTGACAGAAGCCACAGTCAACTTCTCAATTCAACAAACACTGATGGAGTGCCTACCACGTGGTGGGCCCCGTACCTAGTGCTGGGGCATAAAGATGCGCAAGGCAGCCCAATGGATGAAAATCCCGGGAGAAGACAAGGCGTGGGGAGTAAAAAGTACAAAAAAACCCACACAAAAACCACACACAAAAACAAAAACAACCCAGATACAAAAACGAAAACAAAATTTTAAAAAGGGAGAGGCGACACATCTGCACGCTACAGTTCTCGGTGGTTACTGATGACAGAGTCACCAATTCGGAAAAGGCTGAAATGGAGTAAACTCGATTTAAGAAGGCAGAGAGAGATGTCTCTTGTAGGTTTAAAAAGATCTCCTTCGAAAACGTAAAAAATGGTTTAAAAAAAAGTTTTGGCACTTAAGAGGGGTAAGCTGGCTCTGTATTCACCCTGGCAGGCAGGCGGGTGTTCAGTGCCCAGCCACCCCGGTTAGCTGAGCTGCCACGGAATTGTGAACTGCTTTGGGACACTGGGCAAAGGCGTGTCCTCGCTTGCCACAGAGGTTACACACGATACCCTTCCGGCAGTAAGGGCTCAGGTGCCCCTCCTCCCCGCACCTGAAGCACCTGTCCTGCGTGCAGCTGCCACTCATGTGGGTCCGGGAACCACATTTAAAGCACGTCTTGGGCTGCCCCTTGTACCAGCTGTAGCCCCTCTCGGCCCCCAGGAAGAAGGCCCCCGGCAGGTGCCTGACCCCGCCCTCCCCCTGGCGCAGCTCGATCTCACACTTGTACTCCCCGGTCCAGATCCCAAACCTGTCGGTCACTTTCACGGGCACGGCCAGCACATCGCAGTGGCGCTTGAGCCAGGTCACGATGTCCTCCACGTCCACCGTCTCGTTCCGGAAGAGGATGAAGAGCGTCTTCAAGCTGGACTTGCTCCGCCCCAGCACCACAAAGTTCTCCCAGCAGTCCTCCTGCTCGCGCTTCTCCTCGTAGACGCGTAGGAACAGGGCCAGCTTCTCCGCCGAGCGGAAGCTCACGTCGAACTCGCGGCTGCCTGGGATCTGGATGACCGCGTAGATGTCGCTCGGGTCCATGCCGATGGAGCGCAGGATGAGCGCGCCCACAACGAAGTCCCGGGTCGGGCAGGCGCCCTCGTCTCCCTGGAAACAGATGCGCACCAGGAAGCGGCCCTTGCCCGGGCCCGCCGCGGGGCCCGTCGCCACTGCCTGCTCGTCCTGAGCGGGCCGCTCCGCCGCGTCCTCGGCCGCGCCAGGCCTGGCCGGGCCCGCCATGGCCGCCGCCGCCGCCTCGGCCTTCTTCCTCCGGCCCGCCTCGGCTGCACCCTTTTTCTTGCGGGGATCCGCCGCCTCGCCGGCCGGGTCTCTCCGCCGACCCTTCGGGTCCCCGCGGCCGGCCGGGGGGAAGTCGCCGAGGCCCGGCACCGCCAGGCCCGCGGGGGCGCCGAGCGCGCCGCCCACGCCGCTGCCTCCCTCCTCCTCCCGCCGCGACGGCCGCGACTCGCGGAACTCGCCCTTCTTCTCGGCCAGGTTCTTCACCACCTGGGCCCAGCCCATCTTCTCGCGGCCGCCCTCGGCCTCCTCGCCGCGAGCCGCGGGCCGCGCGGGTGGCAGGAGCTGCGGCCGCCCCCGCTTCCTTTCCTCCTCCGCGCCGCCGCCGGTGGCCATTTTACCTCCTTCCCAGCATCCTCCACTCGCTCCCGCAGCCAAAGGGCGCCCATCCGCGCGCCCGCCCGCCCGGGGCTGTGGGGGTTTGGTGGTTTTTTTTTTTTTTTTTTTTTTTTTTTTTTTTTTATTTCGACGCTTCTCTCCCCCGCCCCGCTGAAGGTGTTTACCCGCGGCGCGCCGCGGCGAGCGCCGGCCCGGAGCCCTCGGGTAACGGCCGAGCCTCGTGTCCGCCGGCGCGCTCCGGCCCCACCTCCTGGGCGCCGAGGCGGGATGCGCCGCTTGGAGCGCGTCCCTGTCCCCTGCGAGGCCTTGGCAGCCCCGGGTCACGCTCTCGAGGATTCGCTCTTTCGCAAGCGGTCCTCGATTTCATTCCGGCAGCATCACGAACGGCCCTCGGCCCTGAGGCGGGCCCGAGCTGAGGAAGGTCTCGCCCATTTTGTTTTCTTTTCGATACCTTTTCTGTTTATCAGGAAACAAAACGAAACTAACTCTTCCTCTTCCCAAAGCACACGACAATGCGTTGTTTTTCCAGCGTTGGGTTATGGACATTTTCAAACACAGAGAAGGTTGAAAGAATTTTACCCAGTGGGTATTTTACCTCTAACTTTGGACTATTTTAACTTTCTGTCAGAATTTTTACTATGCCTTGTCACACTACACCTCTATCCATAAGTCCTTATTTTTTGATACACCCCTAAGTAATACCGCATTATTTTTTTGAAAAGACTTCCATCATACTCATGATGACAATTATAATATATTGAGTTCTTCGGCGCCCGGTACTGTTCTAAGCACATTAGGACAATTGCAAGCTTTACCACATGGAATCTTCCAAAACCACGCTGTAATTACACCCATCTTACAGGAGGCAGGGGGCTTGGAGACAGGGTTAAAACACTCGGTGAAGTGGCAGAGTTAAAAGGCGACCGCGTGAAGCTGGCTTATATTTCTAAAATCGCTTGCTTCTGACATTGTGGATCAAGGCTGTCTGCATCAGACTCCCCAGAAAAATCTGGTTAACACGAAGATTCTCGGCTAAAGTTAGGGAGCGCTGGACAGAATTTCTGTTCCTCCTTCAAATGTCTCAACTGGAGCTTTGGAACAAAGCATTGATAAAATCTGGGTGTTTGAGGGGATGGGCTTAACAATACCCTTTGTGAGCTTTGTTTTCTTAACGCAAGTCTGTGCGTTTCAGGGTGCTTCAGTGACCATTGTGACTTTGGTGAAAGGAGAGGTGGAGATAGGGAGACCCTAGTGTCAATCTGACTGCTTTGAGTCTCAACCTTGTCACATGGGGCCAATGACCTCAGTTTTCATAGCTTCAGTTTGCTCATCCATAACAAAGGGATATTAAGGTCTACTCTCAGAGGACTAATGTTGGGGTTCAAGGAGATAGCCTGTGTCAAAGAGCTTGGTCCACAGTGGGGTTTCCAGGAAAGGTCATTCTTCCTTCTGTTGGTGTTGGATTCTCTCCTATTTCTCTGCCATATCTTCTGGTTCTACTTAGCATTAAAGGAGTCCCTGTGAATTCTCTCGTCTTGCAATCTTTCGCTTCACCCAGTTCCACATATTGGTCTCGGGGAAGCCGACATCTCCAACTCTTGTGCCATTTGGACCTTCCAATTCCCTCACATTATATAACCTCTGGCATGCTTTCCTCCATCCCTTCTCTGCCACACATTCCCATGATCATACTCAGATCACTACCAGAAACATCAAACTCTTTGAGTCATGTAATCCACTCTTTTCTTCTTTCTGTTTGCCAGCTCACTGGGAGGACTTTTACAAAACCAAACAGAACCTATATAATTTAAAATAATCTCTTCCATTCCTCTTCCCTACCCTCCCACCCCAGGCAATATCATACAAATATCTACAGGATCAGGCAGGTACCTTAAATAAGAACAATGTGCTGGGTGAACTGGAGAGCACGTATTCTATCTGAAGGGGCAGTCGCAAGTCAACTCTAGCTAATTATTGCTCTCCATAAGAGCCCGCTATAGCCAGATACTCCAAATTCTAAAGAGAAAACCGAACTCTATTTTATTTATGGGAAGCATTCTTCCTTCTTCCATAAGGCTGTCTCAGCTATATTTGGGTCCTCTGTACAAAATTTAGATTCAGTCTACTAAGTTCCAGGAAACCATTTTTTGGGATTTCAATTGGAATTGCATTGAATTTGTACATAATTGCCATTTTATAATACTAAATTGCTCCATCTATAACCTCACTGGATGTCTCCTTTATTTAAGTCTTATTATTTTTATAAATTGCAATAACATTTTATGGTTTGGGAGGGGGTTGGGGGGATGGGTTAGCCTGGTGATGGGTATTAAAGAGGGCACGTTCTGCGTGGAGCGCTGGGTGTTATGCACAAACAATGAACCATGGAACACTACATCAAAAACTAATGATGTATGGTGATTAACATAACAATAAACAATTTAAAAAAATTGCAATAACATTTTATAGTTTTCTTCATAAGGGTCTTGCATAATTAAACAAATTATTCCAAGGTACAGTATGGTTTGGTTGCTATTGTAAATAATATGTTTAGAAATTACATATTTGTTTCTGGTATTTAGAGGGAATACAATTGGGGCCCCTGGGTGGCTCAGTTGGTTAAGCATCTGCCTTGGCTCAGGTCAGGATCTCAGAGTCCTGGGATTACCCCGCATCCTGCATGGGCTCCCTGCTCAGTGGGGAGCCTGGTTCTCCATCTCCCTCTGTCTGCCACTCCCCCTGCTTGTGCTCTCTCTCTCTTTCAAGTAAATAAAATCTTTTAAAAAAATAAAGGGCATAGGGGCGCCTGGGTGGCTCAGTTGTTGGGTGTCTGCCTTCGGCTCCGGTTGTGATCCCAGTGTCCTGGGATCAAGCCCTGAATCGGGCTCCCTGCTCAGCAGGGAACCTGCTTCTCCCTCTCCCACTCCCCCTGCTGTGTTCCCTCTCTCTCTGTGTCTCTGTCAAATAAATAAATAAAAAAATCTTAAAAATAAAGGGCATACAATTGAATTTTGTGTAGTAGCAACAATGCTGACATCTTTTAAAATTTCCAATGGTTTTTAGAATCACTTTGCTTTTCTGTGTTGATAGTCAATATGGTGTGAATAACGAAGGTTTTGCTCTTTATGTTCAGATCTTACACTTTTTTTTTTTTTGTCTTACTGCACTAGCCAGGACCTCTCATATAACCAACATATAGTGGGCATTTTTGTTTTATTTCTGACTACAAAGAGATCTGTTTGTATTTTGAAAAGATTTGACTTGTGGATTGGGTTCTGGCTCCATCTGAAATTTTAGTAACAACATCTTGTATTGTAAGGTTTTGTTGATATATGTATGGCCATTCCTTCCATCAATTCCATTTTTCTCAGGTCAAGTTTTGCAGATCCAAGATTTCTGTATTCTCTTTTGGTTATTTTTTTGCTTTATTTCTTGTTGATTGTCATTGCCAGCAATTTTCCCTATGAGTTGGATAAAAGACTAAATCTTTATATTTATTTCTCAGTGGATTTCTTTTTTTTTTTTTAAGATTTTTTATTTATTTATTTGACAGAGGGAGACAGCGAGAGAGGGAACACAAGCAGGAGGAGTGGGAGAGGGAGAAGCAGGCTTCCTGCTGAGCAGGGAGCCCGATGCGGGGCTCGATCCCAAGACTCCGGGATCATGACCCGAGCCGAAGGCAGATGCCCAACGACTGAGCCACCCAGGCGCCCCTCTCAGTGGATTTCTTTAAAAATTATCAGCCATCCTCCTTAGCAGTGTTCCAGCAGGCAGGCTGGCCTGTTGTGGAGATCACTGAACCAGGAGCTACAGGGGCCACGCAGGTACCCTGTGAACAGATCAGTCCAGATGGGCACTGAGGCCATCTACAGAGGGGAGCCTGACTTATTTCTGGCAAATTATTGCCACAGAAGGATATCAGAATTGGTCAGTTTGGCACCTCAGTCTAGGTTCTTATTGACAGACTTTTAGAATTGCACTTTTTTTTTTAAGATTTTATTTATTCATTTGAGACACAGAGATAGAGAGAGAGAATGAGCAGGGGGAGAGGCAGAGGGAGAGGGAGAAGCAGACTCCCCACTGAGCCAGGAGCCTGATGTGGGGCTCCATCCCAGGACCCCAGGACCACGACCTGAGCCAAAGGCAGACGCCCAACCATCTGAGCCACCCAGGTGCCCCATGGAATTGCACTTTTAAAAAATGTATTTTATTTATTAAAAAAATTTTTTAAGGATTTTATTTATTTGAGAGAGTGAGTGAGAGAGAGCACAAGCTGGGGGAGGGACAGATTGAGCAGGGACTCAATCAGGTCATGGGATCATGACCTGAGCTAAAGGCAGGCACTTAACTGACTGTGCCACCCAGGCGCCCTGCACTTTGTTTTAAAAAAAGATTTTATTTAGCTATTTGAGAGAGAGAGAGAGCAAGCAGGGGGAGGGGCCGAGGGGGACTGAGAGGAACAAGCTGACTCTGGAGCTACGTGTGGAGCCCGACCCAGGGCTCTTATCTCATGACCCTGGGATCGTGACCTGAGCCAAAACCAAGAGTCAGATGCTCAACCAACTGAGTCACCCAGGCACCCCGGATTTGCACTTTTTTAAAAAAAAGCTAGTTAGCAGACTGTGGAGGAGGCACGATTTGAGATGCACCTTGAAAAAAGAAGCGGGTTTTGGAGCGCAAGAGAGAAAAAAATCTGTGCGCCAGAATTTGGCAGGTAGGTCTCTCTGTCCTGCAATGTCATAGTCTGGGTGTGAGACGAGAAGTAGGTGTGTGTATGTGGGGTGGTGGTAGTAAGAAGTATGATTCCAGATGTACTTTCAAGGTATTGCTGACAGACTTGGATGTGCGATGAGAGGTGAACCAAAAGATGAATCAAGGGTGACTCCAGGAAGAGTGTTGCCATTTTGAGTTGGGGGAAAGAGTTGCATGTTAGAGTTACCTATTAGGCACCCAAGTAGAGATGTTGAGTAGACGGTTGGATGTATGTGGCTGGAATTCAGTGGAGACCCTGGAGATATGAGTCTGGGAGGCCTCCAGGTAGAGATGGCATCCGAAGTC